TTTGACTAAGTTAAATTTCAGGATTAAATTTAGATTTGCAAGCCGCGTGAGACAATCAAAATTAATGTGACAAAGTCGTGAATGCCATATATTTGACTCATTCGAAACATTAACATTGTTCACTACTTTATTACACACATCATCAAGCAAAGATAAGCGGAACAAGCCTCCGTAATCATAATATTTTCCAACAAATATTCCATGTCTCGACACAACACACTTATTGGACTCAAGCACAATTTTAAAGCTACCGCGACACATTTGAGAACCGCTAACAAGATTCTTCTTGACGGAGGGGACATGCTGCACGTTCTTTAATAGCACCATGTTTCCCGAAGTAAACTTCAGAACGACTGTACCAGCACCAAGAACACGCGTATGTGAACCGTTTCCCATCAGTAATGCTCCAGTGCTACCGGCCTGATAGGAAGTAAACAAAGAAACATCAGTACTCACATGAATATTAGCATCGCTATCCATCCACCACTCAGGTGAAAGATAAACTGAAAGAATAAAAGATAAAGAATTATCATACCTAGATGTTCCTCCTCTAGTCTCGCTAATCACCACATTTGCTGATTTTTTTCTTGCTTATATTTATGGTCTGGGCACGCACTTGCCCAATGCTCATCACTCCCATAAACAGAGCAATCTCCACCTTTCCTATTGTTTTTCTTCTTAAACTGAGCAGTTTGCTTAGGCTTTGTATTGTTGTTCTCTTGCATGTTCTTCTTCTTTTTACTACGGGATGCAAATGAGTTTTTCTTCTGCACCATATTGGTAGTGGAAGACTCAACTCCTTTTCCACGGTTATCTTTTGCTCTCACCCTCTCCTCAACATCAAGAGATCCAATAAGGTCAACCACGCTAAACTCTTGTCTCTTGTGTTTTAGAGAAGTAGCAAAATCCCTCCAAGAAGTTGGCAGCTTAGCGATTATATCGCCGGCCACAAACTTGTCGGGTAACAGACATGAAAAATATTCTAGTTCCTTTGCTAGCGCCTGTATCTCATGAGCCTGTTCCACTACAGAACGGTTTTTAACCATTTTATAGTCATACAGCTGCTCCATAAGGTCCAGCTCACTACCAGCATCAGAAACTCCAAACTTTGCCTCAAGAGCATCCCATAACTCTTTGCCTGATGTGCAAGATATGTAGTTTTTCTCATACTTACTCTGAAGTGCACTAATCACGGCGCCTCGAAACAGGTTATCGGCAGCCAAGAACTTTTGCTCCTCCTCAGGAGTAAATTGTTTAGTCTTCCCCTGTGCGGCGTGATAGCAGTTCATAGCAGTCAACCACAATACCATCTTGGCACGCCATATCATGAAATTCTTGCCATCAAAATTATTTGGTTTCAAAGCAGCAGCAAAACCACCGACAGAAAATTACCTAAGATTAGGTTTTTGGATTGTTTGATAAATAGGCATTTTTATGGTCAATTTAATTCAGAAATAAAGCATCAGCTGGTTCGTGACGATATATATGTGCTTGAGTATATCTCTAACAAATGCTACATCATGCAAATATTATATACTGATCGATACAGTAAGTACGCAAAGTACTGTAATCATAGAGATAAGAGTGTACCCAGCGGAGGGTCCCATGCCGAGGGCATCGGAGGCTCCATTCGTACCAGATATAGTGCGTTGCTCGAAGTCGTGGACCACAGTCGATGCAGGAAGATGTTCGCAGTGCAGTCCCACGAACAGTCACCAGGAAGAAGACGGGTTCCGCGATCGATCACCAGGAAGAAGACGTCGGACGATCAGTCGCGGAATCACTCCCCAAAAACCTAATCGCTTCACACCCCGTGCAAGGTTCGCAGGCGGATGAGGGTTCCGGAGGCACCTGCCGCTACTCCGTGCGCGCAGAGGTACGGGACGGAGAAAACCAAAGCGCGGCTGAGATGTGGTCTCTCGGAAGCGAATGAAGGGGAAGAAGACTGACAGAGGACTTTCTGTTTTATGCCTGCGGCCAGGAGGGAGAGAGCCAGCGGAGGAATTCAGGAGTCGGAGACACGGAGAGACGGTAAGTGACGCAATCAACTCGCCTCCACCATCAAGGAGAGAAACTCCCATGATTATGTGGATTAAGTGGCAAAAACTGGCCACACCCACCCGCCACGGCCCGCGCCCGCGCCCACGGCCCTGCCGGTGGCGGCGGCGCGTGCGCGTGTGGCACTCCTTTGTCCTTTTCTCAGCTTCTCAATTAAGATGGATAATTTCTAACCAAATAAGTTGAGTAAACGTTCAGTCAAAATCCCATACAGTATTAAACCATACAATACTTAATGTTACGTACCATAGAGTTTTATTTGATTTATTAAATATTATACAGGCCAAGCCCATAATATATCAACAGGGGTCGCTGGTCATGAACAAGATGCCACTACGGCTGTGCTTGTTTTTTACTTCTTTTTTTTTTTGAATATGTGTTTTTTACTTTTCTGTGTGTGTACTATCGTTAATGTCCCTTTCAAAAGAGATGTTATCTTTGGCTGGAAATGGCCTCATCTCATGCAGCCACTCTCGTTCTCCCCCGTGGTGTGTGTACGACCTGACTATAGCCTCACGCAGGCTTCACACGCTTCCCGTTTGTCCCCCGTGCTGCGATCGGATTCCGAATCCGACAGCGCTTGCCTTGCCCGTCGCGGGGCAATAAAAAACCGGGCCAGCGGGGCGCTGCCATCTCCACTCCCCTTCGCTACCCGTCGATAGCCGCGGGAACCCGCCGCCATCTAAATCTAGCTTTTGATCCGTTTAGAGAGGGCAGAGGGCAGAGGGAGAGGGAACACCTGCTACGCGATGGGCGTCGGTGACCGCCACCTCATGAGGAAGGTGCATGGGAGCGCGTCGAAGAGGCACGGGATGTTGAAGACCAAGAAGAAGCAGGCGTGCGTGTCGAAGGGGTGCGGGATCCTTAAGGCGAAGGAGGAGGCGTTGGCGGCTGTTCGTCTCTTGCATTTCAAGCGTGTACCGGGGGGCATGGATATCTGGATGGATCACTGGCGGGAGATGAAGGCCAAGGCGGCGGCCAGCCCCATGATGAAGAAGAGGAAGAGGGTAGTCCAGCAGAGGTTGCCCAAGGCGCTCATCAATCTCATGGTGGCTAGGCCTTTTAGGAGCATCGAAGACCTCACCTCACCTGGCGAAACGTTCCCGTGAATTCCGCAAGCTCTATGCCTTCACAACTTTTGCCGATGCCAAGCTTCGTGACTAGGAGCAGACCCTCATCCGGCAGTACGACGCCCAGGGCTATGCGGAGGACGAAAGCGATGTGACTGACGATGAGGAGGATGTCATGGTGGATGAGAAGTAGGGAGGCAGTTGGGGTGCAATCATAAAGTTGTACGATACGATGCAGGATTTTGTACGATACGATGCAGGATTTAAAATTGTTGACTGAACTTGGTGCTGCTAGATTTAGGGCTCGTTCGCTTGGCTGAATTTGGCTAAAAAATACTGATCTACCTAAATTGTTGTGAGACAAAAACACTGTCCCGACTGAAAAAAAAAGCCGAATAAGCCATATTACAAAACAAGCTGCTAATCCAACATGCCTGCTACGATATGATTTTCTTTTATTTGCCGATTATTCGGACTGTTTCTGTTGTCTTGTGCGGCTGTTAGAGTGAACTGCTATCGTCAATGTCCTGTACTGGCTGAGTGGTTGTACATGATTTTTGTTCACTATGATACATACAGTCATATATATTTATACTAGGTACATGTACAACCAGTGAATTCAAGAGTTGATCTGATTACTTGAATGGGCAATAGAATATCATGTTCTTTATAATGCTCATTAAAAATCGCAAAGGCAGGGGCGGATCCAAGAGGCAGAGGGATGGCACTTAGTTCAGTTCTAGACTAAAGCTTGAAGAGATTGGTGATGAGATTGCAACCCCTCTGTTTTAATTTATAGGTCGTTTTGATTTTTCTAAATCAGAAATGTTGCGGTGCGAGCGTGTCCGTCCGTCCGGATGTCGCGCTTTCTGGGCCCGCGCACTACCAGCCCCTCCCCTCTACCTACATTCTTTCACGGTCTCTCTCAAAAAAAAAAGACAGCGACATATTCAACTCGCACGGCCACCGTGGCGTTCCGCACCGCTTGCTTCTCCAGCACGACCACCTCTGCTTCCTCTGCCCCGGGGCTCTCACTCGCCTCTGCGACGCCAGGCTCCGCCGTTGGAGTCGCGCCTGCCGCCCACCCTTGCCCTCATCGCTGGAGCCAGAGCCGGCGTCCTCCTCAACACCTCCTCCTATAGCTAGACATGGCGAGGGCGCCGCGGCCGTGCCATACTTCGTGGACGCCTTGAGGCTCCTCGTGCCCCCGTGATGTTGTTCGCTCCGCCACCTCCGCCACCTCATAGCTTGAGTCATTCGGTTGGAACCCATCCTAGTGTTTCTTTTGGCACTGCAGGCCGCCCAGCCTTAATTGGAACGTGCTACGTACTAGAGCCCAGAAGAAACGGCCCGCCACCGCGTAGTGGGCTTCGTCGGAGGCTCGGACTCGGATCCAGAACCGAGGTGCAAAATTTCCGCAGATATTTGCGTGCCATATACGTCCTCCAAACTCCATTGGCATCCGCCTCCTCGATCGATCTGGCTTCCTAGCCGCCGCCGCCGCATCTTTGTCGCGAACTACCAGACCACGGAGAGGTAGTTAGGGATCGCTCCGATCCGTCCGTCAATCGGGGCAACGGCGTGTGATGGGATCCCATGGCCACCGTAAGAGCATAGTACCCTTATTTCCCTTCTTAGCATCTCCAAAAGTTTCCTATTTTTTTTCTTCTAAAACTTATAGTTTTACAACTCCTAAAAAGATATAAGGAGAGAAAAAAGAAAACCATCTCAAGAGTTTCTAATAAATTACTTTAAAAAATCAAATTTGGGACGAATTTGATGAAGCATCCAATCAACCACGCCACGAAAATCTGACATCTCATCTCAATCCATCCAGCTCGCCTCAATCGCCGGCCTGGCCGGCCGGCAGCCATGTCCACCACGGAAGAAGCCGCTGGTGGCTACGGCTACGACCGTCTGTGCGTGCTGAAGGCGTTCGACGACACCAAGGCCGGCGGCAAGGGCCTCGTGGACGCCGGCGTCACGACCGTCCCTGCCATCTTCCGCCACCACCGCCAGGACAGGCCGCCGGTATCGCCCTCTAGCAGTAGCGGCATCACTATTAGCGTTATCCCGGTCATCGACCTCTCGGTGGCGTCGGCGGCGGACGCAGCCGCGCGGGCGGAGGTGGTCGCGCAGGTGAAGGCCGCGGCCGAAACAGTGGGGTTCTTCCAGCTGGTGAACCACGGCGTGGGAGATGGATCCGCGCGACTCAAGAGCCGCGTAAAGTTATGCGGAACTGGCTCAATTTTTTCAAGTGCCTAAATATTAGGAGGGTGGATTAGAAACTGTTGGAGAGAGATTTTTTCTAATTTTCCTAAAAACCAAGTATTAGGAAGGCAAATAGAAAACTCTTGGAGATGCTCTTAATCTTTGGTTATTAGCAATATAAAAAAATATCTTTCCAACAACTGCTAATCCATACTTCACTTGAGGAGCATCTCTAAGAATACCTAATATTTTTTCTAAAAACATGAAGTTTTACTACTCTAAAAAAATATTAGAAGGAATAAAGAAGCCCATCTCCAAGAGTTTCTAATAATCCACTCCTAAAATATAGAAGATAATTTTACATCAGGAATCCTATACTATTTCTAAATTATCCTAACCACTTTTATATATTCTTTCTCTCTTGTACATTTACATCAGGAACATTTTCCTACTCTTAATTATTTCCACGCCCTTCCACTCTTAGATTGCCCGACAACCACACGCGGGAGAGAGAAGATACACGCTTCCGAGTCACGCGTAACTTTACACAGAACAAGGTGACTTTTCTCAAGTTCTAAAAGATTATGGGATGGATTAGGAGTCGTTGGAAAGGGATTTTTTCTTATCTTACTAAAAACCAAGGATTAGAAAGGGATTTAGGGAACTTTTGGAGATCCTCTTACGGGTAACTTTACGTGTAGTAGCGGGCGCGCGGATCCGGTGCGTATCCGTCACCGGCCGGTCAATCTCTAAAGGTGTAAGGTTATGGGAAAGAATAAGAAGTAGGAAAGGGTTTCTGATGCAAATATATGAGAGAGAAAGAATATATAAAAGTGGTTACGATAATTTAGAAATAGTATAGAATTCTTATATAAAATTGTCTTCTATGTTTTAGGAGAGGATTATTGAAAACTCTTGGAGATGGCCTTCTTTTTTTTTTTACCAATACCTTTTTAGGGGTTGCAAAACTATATGTTTTTGGAGAAAAAAATAGGATACTCTTGGAGATGCTCTAACCAGGAAGAGGCGTGGAAGGAAGCGACGGCCACGGCGAAGGCGTCGGCGTCGTTGGAGGGGGGTGACCACGCCGACGTCCTGACGAAGAGGAACAGTAAGAAGCATGAATTGCCGGTGACGAAGCCTGCGGCGGTGGAGGAGTCCTAGCCGGCCGGCGCCAGGAAGAAGACCAAGGAGAAGAGGAAGAGGGTGGTGAGGGAGAGGCTGCCGGAGAAGCTTTGTACATTCCCATTCCGTCCATGAGATACCCGACGAGAGGCTGGCCCGGTGTTCCGAGGAGTTCCACGCGTCCTATGCCAAAAGTAAGGCTCGCAACGTTGTAACACCCTCGGTGTTACACCCAAAATCTTTTACTAAAACATATCATGAGTATCATGTTTATATGTTAATGCATGTGATAGAATGTGTAGATAAATTTCTTATGACTTAAAATGATCAATAAAAATGCTAAACGAAAGTTAATCCAATAAAAATGCTCAACGTCTCCATCAGTCGGCTGCAAGACACCCTCAAAACAGTGCAAGAGCTGCTCCTCCCAGTCCACCGGCACGACAACAGGGCCGACAGGGGCACCGTCGAGTGGTAGACCAAAGAGCATGGCAACGTCCTACAGAGTGACAGTCACCTCACCTATAGGGAGGTGGAACGTGTGCGTCTCCGGTCTCCAGCGGTCCACCCAAGTAGAGAGGAGTGCATGGTCCACCAGAAAACGCGCACTCCTATGCCTGTGTCGCTCAACCAGGCGTGCAAACGGAAGCAGACCAGCAGCACGTAGACTGTGATGGAAACATATTTAGTGATTAAATAATAAAAATTTGAACAAGTAAGGCTATAACATAAAAGGTACGAATTAAACAAACCGTGGAACCCAGCGCTAGTCAAGTAACCACAACTCGTCGCGAGTACGAAGACATAGGGCTGCGGTAAGCTGCCCGTCCTGTAAGTTGGAGCGGTGCCTCTGGTCAACAACAGGGTCGATGAGTTCCATACTGGCCATCCTGCAAAATTAAAGATTTTTTGAAAATACAATGTCATATTAATAAATAATTCAAAAAGGAGAATAGTCGAAACTTAAATATTGCACAATAGTCCGAAACTACAATCTTAAACGCAAAATGGTCCCAAAGTAAAATAATACATAATCTTTGGAAACTAAAATCTAAAACGAATGATAGTCCCAAACTAAAATTACAAGCCATAGTTCAATCACTAGAGTTGCGTTTTGGAATATGTTGCTCTTCCGTTCCATCCGGAAGCCTATGTGTTGGGTATGCATCACAATTTTTCCTCATATGATTTCCACCGCATGCGAGGTAGAAAGGACGCTTGTCTGAAGCCTCCAAAGCATCCATATCATTCCTAATACGACGACTCTTGCGACAACCTCTTGCCTCCACCCTTTTGTCCGTATCCGGAGACCAATGACGGTCAGAGTCATGAACTGGCTTAGTGAAATCAGAAATGGCCCTCCAACCTCGAAGCTCACCACACCAGGTGTTCAGTACGGCCTCCTTCTTGAAATAAGGCGACACAAATGTCAGGGAACTTTGGCTTTCCCAATAGCAGCAAGCACATGGGAGCATGGATAATGGTAGTACTTCAGCTTGTTGCATGTGCACGTGCACTTGTTCACCGCTGGCCATAACTGACACTCCATAATTATTTCGCTTGGACCAATGCCAAGTCCACCCTTGTCACGCAGATACACTTCATAGACAAGGTCCTGATTGCCAGCGTAAAAGACCCTATGTAGGGATCCTTTGGCACTCTTCTCTTCGATGTAAGCAGAAATCTTCACTGAATATGTCATCTGTGGATTTTGAACGACTGCAATTGCCACTTGACAACGCTCTCACAGATACAACATTGTGCCCCTTAGGATACCCTCCAACCAATGGAAGGGAACGTGTACCTTTCAGCACCCAGTTGTAAACCTCCGCGAGATTCGTTGTCATTATGCCGTAGCGAGCTCCAAAGGTGTCATACAACAAAGACAACTTGTCCAAGGGTTCCTATTTAATCCAATCTGAGAAACACTTCAAAGACCTGCCCCTTACGTCGACGAGTTTTGCTTTTAGGCTCATTAGGATCTGGACCATGGCCTTAAGGATCCTCCTCTCGTGCGACAACAGGTTGGTGACACACCTCTTTCATGTGGCTTGTGGTTAGCTCATCCAACCGTTGTCAAAAGAAATCAAATTTTTGTTTCTGATTCTACTTGCATAGCATCTTGAACATTTCCATCAAGCGCTTGCTCTTGAATTGCTTGTAGAAATTAGCAGCAAGATGCCTCATGCACCACTGCCTTTGTATATCGGGCCATTGGACATCTGGATCAGTACTGTTCTTCAACTTTTGCACTGCATTCAATAACCTGCATTACGATCATGCAGGACACAAACATTCTCCCTTCCTTCTACGAGAGCTCGTTTCAGCAACTTTAGGAACCACAACCAGCTTTCACTGTTCTCCGATTCAACCAGGGCAAAAGCAATAGGCACAACCTGGTTGTTGCTGTCAACCCCTATGGCTGTTAGCAACGTACCTCTGTACTGCCCAGTCAAGAAAGTGCCATCGACACATAGTAGAGGTCGGCAATGCTTGAAGGCCTGTATCATGCAACCGAAAGACCAAAAAGCTCGTTTAAGCACACGATCTCCACTGTACTACAAGGAACCTGTTAATCTATGATGAAAAATTTCCGTCACGGATCACTAAAAAACCGTCACTATGCAACATCTGTGATGGTTTCAGAGATCGTCATGGATTAACCCTCGTGACGGTTTATCGAAAACCGTCACGGATTAACGAAATCGGTGACGGTTTTAAACCGTCACGATAGAGCCCGATGCCTAGTTAGCCTAGCCCAGCCCAAGTCCATTTCCTGTGATGAAAAATAACCGTCATGGATTGATTGCCACGTCATCAAGGATGCTTACATGGTTGCTTACGTGGATGATGCCGCGGACACCACCTCAGCCCATTTATTAACGGGCCAAAATCAAAGATGGCCCAATGTTTAGCCCATTTTCAAGAACTTTGCAGCCCAAATTCATCACCAATTTTTAGTGCCCTTTTCAGCCCATTACTGCATCACATACAGCCCATGCACAGCCCAATTTCGCACATACAGCCCATACAACTAATAATTGCAGCAGCACATCAAATAAAAATATTATTTTCCCTTCAAATATCATATCACATGAATTTTCATCCAACATCATATTACATAATTTTTCATCCAACATCAGTTAACATACAAAGTGCATACAACCTTACAGTTTACCACGGCACAAGCCAACAACAAATAGAGATTCCAGTAACGGATTCTCAGTGACAAATAGAGATATCATGGGTATCCTTTATTTTTCTTGTTGGGAGATTTGATGTCGGGGTGGACTGCTGGAGCGTTTTCACCTAAACAACAACAACAAAAAATCAGTTAGCAAAAAATATGCACTATTGTACATCCTTAGGAAATGCTAACCCAAGCCGAGGCTTTTTGAAACTGAAATGGTATAGCATTAAGGCATTAAAGCCCCGGGCTACCGAACGATGGGAGCCAGAGCCTGAAAAATCAAAGACCAAACATAGGATTTAGAAGCATGTTAATGGCGCCTAATACACTTAAGCAGAATTGAAATAGCTTGTAATAGATGCTACACGAGGATATATATGATAGTGGATTTTCTACGACGGAGGGTAGCTGCCCAGGGGGTGGTGGTAGCTAACGTCCCGGCTGGATGTTTGACACGTTCACTATGTCTTTGATCGGACGGCAGTTGGTCTCCTCCCAAAATGGCATGTTCGTACGTGGGCAGTATCCACTCGGTGCTTTGTCAGGTCTTGGTCGGGCAGCGCTTGAAAAGTTGGACCACGGTTTCATCTGAGTATGTGAAAAGCATTCAAGCCTCATGCATTCAATTGGGACCATCGTTCTCGCAGCTAGGAATTAATGACCGAGCTAAAAATTAGGCCTACAAATTAATATTTTGTTAGTGACCGAGCTAACAGTTTGGCTTGTGCCAAAATCTGGGTAGTCAAGATGGATGATAGCCGAATCAATTTTTAATAGTATATTTGCATGTACGACACGTATGGTCCATATGTTTTTTTTTTCTTTAAAGAAATATGGTCGTGTGAGATCTTGTTTTGTAGATAAAATCTTGAGAAACATTATGGTGAAAACAAACTACAAATCGGATATGTGGTTAAATAGATATTAGGATTTGAAGTTTGATTATCAAAAATTTTGAAGTCCGTGCATACAAGCCCTTCAATCTACACTATTCAGGAGCACATGTAAAGTAGTGGTCCCACGTAAGCCATGGCACCTCTTTTTATTGGCCTTCTCTTATACAGCTTGTTCGCTTGTTGTTTTTAGTCAGGACTTATCAGTTATGGTATAGTATTTTTTCTCACAATAAATTAGTATTAGTCGGACTTATCAGTTCAGAAACCAATCAGCGAACAGGCTGATAATCTGTACTTTTCAAACATTCTTTCAGCCAGAACAGTATTTTTCTCTCACAATAAATCAGTCGGAATAATATTTCGGCTTGTTTTTCTAGGGAAGCGAAGGGGACCAATGGAGCCGTGGAGGGCATAGGCTGGGTGCCTGTGCGTGCATGCGCTTGCTTTCATGTGCGCCCAAAACGCTTCGGCAACTCGGCGTAGTCGTGTGACATCCCGAAGTAGACAGCGTCTGCCAGTGCAGAATCAAGACAGAGCTGCTTCGACATTTTCGTGGCCGAGTAGCTACCACACCCAGGTAGACAGCTACCACCCGTTGTAGCTGAATATTTCATTATATATATATATATATATATATATATATATATATATATATATATATATATATATATATGAAAATTATTTCGTACTCTATATATATATATATATACATTGTCCTGCGGCTAGTCAGACATTCTACGCAGCACAAAAAGAGCAAAGAAAGAAGACCACACTGAGCCCGCCGGTCTTTGAACTTGTCAAATTTCTGTTGTTATTGATGCTGAACTAAATTCAAACTCAGAAATACAATTAGACAAGATTGGGCCCAAATAAAAAAGAATTGTGCCAGACTAAACACACCAGAACTGTACACGTTAATTTAGCAATGTATAATCTAAGGATTCCACTATATC